TATTGTGCGTTTTAGTAGAATCAACTGTGCATTATTTAAATTACTCAATCGTGTAATCTTTTTATTCATTTTCATTATTTATCCTTTGTTATACTTTAAGAAATCTTTCTTAAAGTACTTTATAATTTGATGTGCAGTGGTTTGATATATAAAAAATCCGGAAATGAAAATCTAATTAGTTCTAATTAGTTTTGTTTTGATTTGGTCCAAATTGAAGACAATGAGTGATTTGAATTCATCAACTCTACGATTAATAAAAATCTAATGTTATTTCATTTTATATTCTACTCCCTTCTTTAAACTATTACAGACCTTATTTCTTCCTATTATAATGTCACTTGAGAAAATAAGCTTGCTAATAATTGAGCAAAATAACTTTCTCCCTCATATGTAGTTCTAAGTATAAGATAAGAAGATAAACGATTGAGCGGGATAATTTCCTCTCTCATATGTAGTGTTTTAGGCATAAGAAGAAACTAAGAAGATTATTATTTATTTTTAAGGAAAAAGGGGCAAATGTGAAAATATATATTTATCATTTTTTGTTTTTTTAACTGCTTTGATCTATTTAAGTTTAATTTTATTCAATTTTTTTTTTTACTTATTCGGCTGAAGTTACTGTACATAATCATTGTTAACTACTTTTCATTTAATCTTTTATTTACTTCATTAACAAAATATAATTTAAATTAAATTCATTCATAAATCAAAAGAACCAATTTCAATCAAAATTTCATCAACTTCAAAAGTATCAGGTGAAGTAGCCAATTTCAATTTTACTAATCTGACTCCAAATATCAAAATTAGTACACAAAAGTAACAATTGAGCGGGAAAATTTTATTGCTCATATGTAGTGCTTTTAAGTATTAGAATATAAGCTTGCTAATAATTGAACGGAATAACTTTCTCTCTCATATGTAGTTCTCAGTATAAGATAAGAAGACTAAACAATTGAGCGGGATAATTTTCTCTCTCATATGTAGTGTTTTAGGCATAAGAAGAAGCTAAGAAGATAAACTTGCTAACAATTGATGAGTGAGAGAACTTCCACTCTCACGGGTAGTTCTTCTTAAGTATATATAAGATAATCAAGCTAACCGTTGAGAGTGAAAACTTTCTATTCCATAAGTAGTGCTTTTAGGTACTACCTCTGTCCCTTAAAACTTTGCCAAAGTTGACCGGCACAACAGTGTGTGGTTGAGATTTGTGCAGAGGAGAGAGAAATAACCAAAACCACAAAATAATTGATTAAAAGGGAAAGTGACAAAGTTTTTTGGGACGTCCCAAAAAGGAAAGATGGCAAAGTTTTAAGGAATGGAGGGAGTATAACATAAGCCAACTAATAATTGAACGGGAGAATTTTATCTCTTATATGTAGTCTTTTTAGATATGACATGATAAGCTTGTTGGCTAATACTTAAGTGAAAAAATTTGATCTCTCATATGTAGTGCTTTTAGTTATTAGACGATAAAGTTGTTAACAATTGAGCATGAGAATTATCATATATGTAATTCTTTTTAGTATAAGAATTTTCTCTCTAATATGTAAGAGTTTTAGATAAAAAGAAAAGATAAGCTTACTAATAATTGAGCGAGAAGATTTTTTGTTTCATATGTAATTCTTTCAGGCATTAGAAGATAAGATTGCTAAGAATTAAGAAGGAGAATTCAACAGGAGAATTTTATTGCTCATATGTAGTGCTTTTAGGTATTAGAAGATAATCATGCTAACAATAGAATGTAATAACTTTCTCCCTCATATGTAGTTCTAAGTATAAGATAAGAAGACTAAACAATTGAGCGGGATAATTTTCACTCTCATATGTAGTGCTTTTAGGCATAAGAAGAAGCTAAGAGGATAAAAAATATTCTTCTTCCAAAAATATCAATTGAGTGAGAGAACTTCCACTCAAACGGGTAGTTCTTCTTATCTTAAGTATATAAATAATCCGGCTAACCGTTGACAATGAAAATTTTCTCTTCCATATGTAGTGCTTTTAGGTATAACATAAGTCGACTAACAATTGAGCAGGAGAATTTTCTCTCTCATATGTAGTGTTTCTAGATATGACATGATAAGTTTGCTTGCTAATAATTAAGAGAAAAATTTTGATCTTTGATATGTAGTGCTTTTAGGTATTAGACGATAAAATTGCTATTAATTGAGCGGGAGAATTATCATATATGTAGTTCTTTTTAGTATAAGATAAGTCGGTTAACAATTGAGCTCAAGAACTTTTTCTCTCATACGTAAGAGTTTTAGATATAAAAAAAAAGATAAGCTTACTAATAATTGAGCGAGAAGATTTTTTGTTTCATATGTAATACTTTTAGACATTAAAAGATAAGATTGCTAACAATTGAGAAGGAGAATTGAGCGGGAGAATTTTATTGCTCATATATAGTGCTTTTAGGTATTATTAGAATGTAATAACTTTCTCCCTCATATGTAGTTTTAAGTATAAGATAAAAGGACTAAACAATTGAGCGAGATAATTTTTTCTCTCATATGTAGTACTTTTAGGCATAAGAAGAAGCTAAGAAGATAAACTCGATAACAATTGAGTGAGAGAAATTCCACTCTCACGGGTAGTGCTTCTTAAGTATATAAGATAATCCGGCTAACCGTTGAGAGTGAAAATTTTCTCTTCCATCTGTAGTGCTTTTAGGTATAACATAAGGTGACTAATAATTGAATGGGAGATCTTTCTTTCTTATATGTAGTCTTTTTAGATATGACAAGATAAGCTTGCTTGCTAATAACTAAACGGAAAATTTTTCTCTCATATGTAGTGCTTTTCGTTATTAGAAGATAAAGTTGCTAACAATTGAGGCAGGAAATTACCATATATGTAGTTCTTTTAGTATAAGATAAGCCGGCTAACAATTAAGGAGTATAATTTTTTCTCTCATACATAGTTCTTTTAGGTATAAGATAAGATAATCCGGCTAATAATTGAGTGAGAGAATTTTTTCTCATATGTAGTTGTTTTAGGTATAACAAGATAAACCGGTTGAGAATTGAGCCTGATAATTTTCTCTCACATATGTTAAATATACTAATGAATGACAAGTTATTATTTAACTAATATTCTTTAATTTTAATATTTATTGTATTCACTTAAACTTTATATCACTCACTTGTTGTACTCACTTTTTAGAATATTATCTAGGAAAAAGTACGGAAAAGGTACATGTGGTTGAGCCCGTTTTCAGATAGGGTCATGTATTTCAGTCTTTATCAAAGTAGTTCATGTGTTTGAATTCCATTGTCACAAGAGGGTTACGCCGTTAAAAACGTCTGAAAAAGACCGTTAAAAGTAACTCTGATTTTCAAAAGTGCCCGAAAAATTAAAAGAAAAATACCGGAAGGTGCGCCTCAATTAGACAACCGCTAGGCCATCTTTCTTTTTTGTTTTCAGTCACCCTTGTCACCGGAAATTCCATCGGAAAAGTGATATTAACGAAATTATTTTTAAAAAATAATTTAAACAGATCTGAAAAATCCAAAGGCGAAGGTGGTTTGGAGGTCATCTTGACGAGGCACACCTTTCAGTATTTTTCTTTTAATTTTTCGGCAACTTTTGAAAATCGAAGTTACTTTTAACGGTCTTTTTCAGACGTTTTTAACGGCGTGACCCTCTTGTGATAACGGAATTCAAACACATGAACTGCTTTGATAAAGAATGAAACACATGACCCTATCTGAAAACGGGCTCAACCACAAGTACTTTTTCCGTACTTTTCCCTATTATTTAATTTAAAATTAATCTAATCATGAAAATGAATAAGTTGCAAATTCTGATTAATAGTGTCAATTAAGTTTTCCTAATATACTCTTCATTGAATATATATTGTATGGGCTTATATTTTATGGTATTAGCTTATTGAACTACTATTATTTTTTGAAAATGTAGAATCCTAAAAAGTTGTTTTTATTTTAATATTTAATTAAATCATGGGTAAAAATATATATGCACCAATTACTCTTCTTTTTACAATAATGAAGTGAGTCATATATTAATTGACGGCAATTAGAGTAGGAAAATGCATAAACTTCAACCATGTGGAGTTTTGGGGCAATCACCGACAAGATCACTCCAAAACTAAACACCTGCATAATTTGACCAGGATTCCCATATCCCTTTGTTGCAATAGATATTGATCACTACATTGAAATCAATGAAAACAATTTTGTTCACCCTTTCAAAAAGAGGGTGATGTTCACCATCCCTGCCATATTGCACGGCAATTCTTTATTGCTTTGCAATTGAACAACTTTTTCATTTAAGGTCTAATCTGTACAAAAAAATATCAAAATTTATAATTTTTTAAATTTAAAAAAAAAAACGACTAAAAGGATAGTTCAAAAATAGATTTTTTCCAAACTTATATTGGTACCATTTGACAATTCATAGTTACTATTCACATGGTCAACTCAAATTACTCTTAATCTTTTACTTTATATATCAAATTTTTATCAAACTTAAATTTTCTTGATCAGACTTTGTAGCGAATTTAATGTAATTTCTGAATATGTAAATTTAATTTACTAAAAATAATTTGAGTGTGAACAGGGATCAAATTGCTTTATCATCAATCAAGCATCGTAAACCGAACTACGAAGATAAATATGGGACGGAGTGGGACGGAGGGTGTATTTAATTTGCTACGTAGTATATTTTTTATAAAAATTGGACCACAAATGAAAAAGTTATAACAATCTGGGAAAAAATTGACATGCCATGTGGTGGGGGGTGAACATTACCCTCTTTCAAGAGGGTGAATAAAATCAGACTCGAAATCAATGTCCCAGATATATTCGTAATTATATGGGAAAGTTGGTTTCTATTTTAGACATAGATGTTTCACTTCCTTGCTTCATGACTAAGTTATGACAATACATTTCTCAAGCACCAATTATCTGCTTTCAGCCTAAGATTAGCTAATTCACCTTACTATATGAGTACATTAGTACATATATCACACTACTAGAATCTTTTAGTATAACCTATGCTCATTTTTACCTCATCCACACAATAAATGGTCCAACTCAAATAGTGTCCCAAAATGCCTTTAAGTATTTCTAAATTCTAACCACCTACAAGGAGTAGGAGGACTAGGATGATGCCTACTCAAAATTAAACATAAGGATAACTAATTGCATCAAATTTAAGTATGTCAACAAATTGATTAATATGATGAACATTGGTTTTAAACGAGATGCTATGGTAAGCCAAAAATTCTGCAACCCTTTGAATCGAGGTTCGATGATCTTTATGGTCCAGTTGAGCTTCTTTATCTTTGTTTTTATGGTCCGTATTCTCGACCAGTACTCCCAATGCTGAAGGGTATGACCTATGTCCTCTGATTCCATCATAGATGTCCTCAATTTCAACCTCAAAAACAATATTGAGTAAGTTGAGCCTCTCTAAATGGGGCATAATAGAAATTATAGTGTCATATAAGGCCATATTACTATTGTTGTGGGTATTAATCTGGGTGTGGTGCACAGTGTAACTGCCCTTATCATCCCTAATAAAGCGCTGCATGTCCTGCTGTTAGCAAGAGTACGGGAGACAAGATTGACGGTACTCGAGTTATAAAGTGATGATAATTTGGGATCGACAATAAAAGAATGTACCTAACCCAATGGGAATAAAGTAGTAACTAGTAATACATCATGCCTTGTTTAACTACCAGTCCATCTTAATACATCATGACAATATTCACATCTAGGATAGGGTCACATATTGGAACTAAAGATTAAAAGATTAGATTAGCATTTGCTTGAATGGTCTTTACCTCCAAAATTTAAGATTAGAACTTAATGACTTGTTTAGGTTGGCTTCCTCGTTTTCCAAGTGCCTTATCCAAAGCGGCATGAAAATCATCGAACTGTACAACCTCCATACTGCATGATAATTTTGTCATCTCATTAACTAATAATAATAATAATAATAATAATAATATTAATAATAATAACAGTAAAAATAGCAATAATATACTTAAATCTGGAGTGTCCTCGATAATATTCTGTGAGAAAGAAAAAAATGGAAAATTGGCAATAGACGTATGACGCCAAAAAAACAAATATCTTTCATCAGCCTCCAGAATTTTGCATCAGTAATGTAAGAAGCATTTCGAGAAAAGGAAATTGCTTTAAAAGAATGAGACGAGGGAGTGGCCATGTGGGAGATAGTTATAGGAGATTGAGAACTCATACTCATAGGTCAGTTTGCTCTCGCGGGCTAGGACTAAAAGATAATCAATCATGCCATGACACTCTTCAGCTTTTTCCGGACTTAACCACTTTTGGAGCCAAAACCCTCTCAAAGAAAGCTCCTGCAAACATGACATTAATAATATTACAAAAATCAAAACTAACTTTTCCCCAATTATGAGATAAAAAACAAACTATCCCATCAGTACGTAGTCTAATAGCCCAACATGTAGCATTCAAATTCTTTTCCTTGCAAACTAAACTACCAGGTTGTGCAGATTAAGAAACTAGATTTAGATATTTCAAGTTTCAACAATGATCAACTTGTAGGGGATAATGTGGTTCTTAAATAGGAGATTTTAGCTAAATGAATTATGTCACCATTTGGATAAACATTAACTTCAAATTTATTGGCTCACCTTTCGGAAGTCAAAACTCACTAAACTCATTTGTTCACCTTAATATGCCCATGCAGATGAAACGCTAAACCAACTTCAAACCCCACACTTTGAGGGATCAATTTTTGGCTTATCAACCAATTTTTTCACTTCAGCCTTTTAAGCACCAAATGAACTCCAAGAATCATTTCTCATTAAGTTGATACTCCGTATAAACTATCATAATAGAATGTTGACAAATCTTACCAAGCACAAAGCACCAATGAGGCAACTGCTTCTTCATAGCAAGCTGTATCAGTTTATAAATGATATCATATAAATCACAAAATCAGAATTATACCTTAAATATAAATAAACTTGTCGGTACAGTTATTGGTTTCTTTGACATGCCCCCATATGTAACCATAGTTCCACCCTGCCTGAAACAAACATCTTAGCCTTTGATATCTGTGAAAAAACACTAATCAAATCTGACCTATTGTTCACCTCAAGAATTTAAGGACCAGTGAAGCAGCATTTCCACCAACACAGTTGAGCCCCAATGCAGGTTCAGGTATACTACCCTATATCAGACAGGAGACAAATGGGATACAAAAAGTATATTATTGAGTGAGGTTAAAGAAACAATGAGAAAACAAAATAATATAAAAGAAAACACAGACTGAGACAGAGAAAACACCTCACTAATCAGGTAAGTTAGTGAAGTTGCCACATACCAGAAGAGTCTTGATCTTTTTAATATCAAGCTGGCTCTCAGTAAATACTTCATCAGCACCAAGTTGTATGAGTTTTTCTCTCGCTTCATCTGATCCAGTCCTGTTCATAATAATCATTAGCTTTGTTGTGTGGTTGCAGAAGTTGGGGGGCAGGTGGAATAGGTTTATAAACCTCCAAACTCCTCATGTCAATCCCCCCATTCAGAGGATTCTGGAGGAGTCGTTTTTTCTTTACTTTTTCCACTGTTTTAACGGGAACTGATCTACAATTTATTTTTTACCATGTGAGGTTAATATATTTTATTGCAACCTAACTTTAATAAACATTTTTTTACAATTTTTTCAAAATACTGATTCTTCTCCTTTTCCTTTGTTTTGGAGTGCCTTCACTTTCCTCCCCCTCCCCTCTCTTGAATCATAGAGAATTTGTGTAAAAAAGAAGGCATTCCTCATGCGTTTGGAATCAATGAAGTTGAAAATGAGGGTTGATTGAAATAAATACCTGTCTCTTATGATGTTTAGACTGTGAATGCCTCGAACTCGAGCAAGTTGAATAACACATTGTCCCACGATGCTTGTGGCACCATTTTGCACAATTGAATCTCCTATATGTGTGCATAAATCAAAAGGTGCATATTGAAGGAAGAGCAGCGGTAACTTGTTAAAAATGGCAATACCTGATTTTAACACAGCAAAGTCCTCGAGCATTCTCAGGGCAGTCATTGGATTAACAATAACAGTGGCAGCATATTCCATTGGTGTGCTTTTGTCAACTTTATACCAGAGACTGTGTTCTTTTACAACATATGTCTGCCATGTGCCTACTTAAGAAAAAATTGAGATGTTTTCCTTGCATGTGACAGATGGGAAGTATATATTGAGCAGCATAAAACTTGGCAACTATACTTTTTGCATGAATTTATAGTTTTGACTAATTTTAGAAAAAATAAATGACACTAAAATTCACACAACCAACCCTACATTGTTGACATTAAGTGGTGGTGGTGGATACTGAACTAGCAGAATACAAAAGCTAACAGAATAAATGCAATAAAATATATGCAAAAGCCAGACTTCATGGTTTTTAGGAAAACAAATCTAATTGTCCAATGAAAGAGAAATATTGATAGAGAAAGAAGTGAATAAAACTAAAAGTCTGTGTTTCAAACTTCTAAGATCATAAATTAAAAATCTTCATGCCTGAAGTTGGTGGAAAGGCAATAACCCAATCGCCTGGGGAAAGAGACTTCACTCCAGCACCTATAGCATGAACCTCTCCAACTCCTTCATATCCTCCCACCGCTGGTAGTGGTGGCCTCACGGGATACACTCCTACGAAAAATAGTTTAATCATTCATTGTTACTGTTTATAACAGGGTTTTAGTATAGTACCTGTAATAAGAATGTTAAGAAAGAATATCAATAGCCAAATCAATTTCAGGAAAAAGTGCAAATACATTGTCAAAACTGTCAGCAAAGAGAAGGAAAATTTCTAGTTTCGAACAGAGAAAATTTGTCTAGGTTACCATCCATTATCATAAGTTAGTTTACACAGACACAAAGTTCTGAAGTACCAGATCAGAGCATAAATATTGAAATTTTGGAACTTGTGCTTTGATCATTTCAAGAGGAGGCTAAACTAGCACATAATTCTAATACTTCGTACAAAACAAACAACTTTAAAAACAAGAAAATTTGGTGCAAAGTTATGGAAACTCTACTCTGGAAAGTCAGTCTATGAGTCTACTATGAAATGAATCAAATGAATACTGTCAAAGACTCAAATGAATATTGTCAAAGACTTCAAACGCAATGGTTTCAACAACTTATGGAAAGTATGTTCATACCATAACGTTACTAAATACAGGATATATTCTACTACATATAAAGAATTCAAGATGAAGAAAGATAGAGCAAGAAACAATTAAAACCTTCTATTCTGTTAATATCAGAGGGATTAATGGGAGCAGCAAGCATTCTAACGCATACATCTTTATCTTTGATTTCAACTGGAGGAAGCTCAGTCACTCTGCATTGCAAATATTATTATCAGGGTACAGAAAATTATAATCGTAATATTTGCTTAAGCAGCATAAGATATGCTCTGTATTACTCTCCTGCAGTGGCCGAGCCAAAGGTGTGTTGCTAGGGGGCGGGGAGCTTTGAAAAAATTATTTTAAAAATTTCATGTGTGTGTGTTGTATGTACATAAAAATCTGGGGGGCGAGGCCCCTCCACCTCTCCCTGTCTCCTGTATAACGGCAAATTGAGGAAGAAGCTGAAATTTCCATCACGTTTGGGACTAATCGAACATTACAGAAGTGAGAGCGAGACCTGGTGACAGAATCCGGAGGGCCATGCTGATCGTAGACAATGGCCTTGGACGGCGGAGACATGGCCGTGGAAAATGCTCGGATTGCGGCGGGTTTGAGACGAGGACTGAGAAAGGACCGCCATAACGGCGATTCCGTGGCGGAGAGGAGGCAATTTAGGGAGGGAAATCCAATTCTTGACATCAAGTCTAGCTTCCTAGGCAAAATTCTCGCGGATTTGGGGGCCAATCTTTTCTGTTTTGTTTTGGGAGAAGTACGTAGTTTTCGTTCAATTTTTCCCCATTCACTGCGTTGGTTTTAGCCTTCCGCTATTTCACTCGCTTTCTTCCTTCCCTTTATTAGCTTTCTACGGAGTATTTTTTAGCTTGATGTATGAAAGAACGTAGCCGTTCTTCCTTCATTAGCTTTCTATTTTGCACACACGGGTTGTACTCCTTGCATTTGATCAGAGAAAACTCTTCAAAAAGGAGTAAAAAGGTTGAGAATTCAAAAATAAGATTGTTATATTTTTATTTTAAATATGGTTAATTACTGTTAAACTAGAAAATTGTAACATATTTAAAATCTTATTTTATCAAAACATAGTACTCCCTCCGTCCCGTTGGAATGTTCCCGGTTTGACCTACACACATATTAAAGAAATAAACTTATCAGGGGGTAACTTTTACTGTTTTGACATTGTTTCGACATTGTTTGGCACTGTTTCGACATTGTTTGACACTGTTTTGCACTGTTTGACCCTGTTTTGATGTAGGATAACTTTCCATTTAAGGAAATGGGAACTTTCCAACGGGACATCCAAAAAAGGAAAGCGGGGACATTCCAACGGAACGGAGGGAGTATTACTTACTCATATTTAAGAAATAAAAACATAACAATCTTAATTTGAACAATAATGTTTGATGTACTCACCCTTATACCCATCTTATACTCATCATGTTTGTTAATGTTTTATTTGTCTACAAATTCGGTTCACAGACCAAATGTGTGTTATTTTGTATGTGCAAATTTTGGACAAACAAAATATTGTCTGCGAACAAAATTCACAGACAAAAAAACTTTTCACAAATATGATGAATACAAAAGTGGGTATAAAAATATGTACAAATAGCTTTTTTGTAATTTGAAATACACAAAAAAAACTCACATTTCCGGTACTTGCAGAGGCCATATGCATAATTTAACATAGTAACCCCTCATCGCAGTTGTCGGGATTCAAACCCGGGACCTAACTCTTGTGACACTCTCTCACTACCGGTTGAGCTACGCCCACGGGTGAAATGTTGTTGAGATATGATAGGTAGTACGAGTGCGTCGTAGTGTACTCGTTACATGATCAAACACCAAAATAAAGATTGATCAAACTATATGAAAAGTGCGTGAGGGCATTTTCACACCGATTTATGCCAGTTTACATTTTATTGATATTTTATTAATCAAGTATTTTTTCTGGGTACAGATAATTTGTTTTCATTTTAAATTTTTAATAAGAGAAAATGTCCGAGGACCCTTGCATGCATATTTCCTCTCTTTTAGTTTTATATTAACGCCTAATTAATTAAGTATCTCCTTCTCTGCTTCTTATTGTGCGAATTGAAGTATAGTCTCGATGGATTAGAAAGTTTGTTTTTTTCCTTGCATGAGTAATGTATGGGTTATGTGGAATATGAGTCTTCAATATAAAGCCACATACTCCGCATATGTTAAGTGGTTGGTATTCTTTATTTGATTTAAGTATTAAAATAAATTCAACAATAAAACAAAAAGATTTGTTTGTGGAATATAATGCACAAGAATATAAGATATGATTTGTTATTTTAATGCACAGGAATATAATGTGGAATTATAACCCCAAAAACAATAAGATATCGAGAAAATTATGAATAATTATGCCGGGTTTTGGGTGTTAAACTTATTCCTTCATTTTATTAAAAAAATTGTCTTGGAAATTTATTTTGAATCAAATTAGTACATATGCCATTATCATTTAATATAAAAATTTGAAGTAAGTTGTAGTCAATTAAGGCAGTGTTTGCTAATGCTTTAGCAAATCACTTTTGGTTTTTTTATTAAAAAAAATATGTTCCAAGTGTTTGCAAAGGGAAAATTCGGCTCATAAAAAATGATTATGGGGTGTTTGGTTAGGAGTTTATCAGCCATTTTTAGCTAGTTTGACCATATTTAACCTTTTGACCAAATCAATCAGCTAATAAAAGTGTTTGATTAAATGATCTTTTATAAATTTTCTACTCCGTCTTTCTTAGAGGTTGATGTGTTAGTTTGGTGTCGTGCTCTATTGAAATTGGCCGGATACATTAGATTACTTCTTTTATGTTGTTTAGATCCTTCTTTAGTTTCTAAACAAAAAAAAGAAATTAAAATAGTATGACATATTACGATTGAGTTTGATACTTTGATATCACCATCATATATGAAACGCCTTCCAATAACGAGTTCTAATAACGCAGTGTAATTTTTTTAAATAGAAAAACGTTTTAAATGGTTGTACCAAAAACATTAACAAAAAAAATAATTCATGTCCATAAAAGTCATTTAACACTTTATCAGCTGATTGTAAACAGTCATTTAATCAAACACCATTTTACAAACTGCTAATACTATCAGATAACTAAAACAGCCAACAGAATCTGCTGTCATCAATCAGCTAACACAATCAACCAACAGTCATTTGCCAAACACCCCCTATAAGGCTTTTATCTGCTTTTTAGGTTTAATGGTAAATAAACACAACTTGAGGGTAGTTATATTCATCACCTTTTCCCCTAATACCCCATGTTACCCTTCTCAAACATCTCCCGATGTCCCTTTGTCTTCTCCAAAAAAAAGGATGACACCACATCCCTGAGGGCCCCCCAATCCCGACCGGATGGTACGTTGGGAGGATGTAAGTTGAACTATAATCCCAATCTGACAGATAGAGAGTAGGGCTCTGTCCCCGGTACTTGCAGAGGCTCTATGCATTTTTTAGCATAGTAACCTCTCATCGCAGTTGCCGGGATTCGAACCTGGGACCTAACTCTTGTGGCACTCCCTCGCTACCAGTTGAGCTACGCCCACCAGTATCTCTTTGTCTTCTCCATCCCTATGTCGCGGCATCCCGAGTAACTCCAGCGTCCCAGTCGAAAATTGGTTCGAGAAGGCCGTTCAAGCGGAAAAACTATTTTTATTCTCCATCTTGTCATTCTTGTGTTTTGTATGGTATGGTTTGTGGCTTGGCATACGGCGGAAATTTGATTTGCGGCTTGGCTTACGGTTAAAGCCAAGTTGATGGAAAAACAGTCACAAACGGTAACTAATAAAATGCGGAATTAATTTCCGTTTGGCTAAACTTTCCCAACTTGAATGAACCTTTGAGGATGCAAACAAATAGGGTGTTCTTAATCCAATTAGAACACACACGATACCACTGCTATGCACCATGATATTGAGCTAAAAACAATAAGCACACCACAACACAAAGACACCGAAAATTTAGCGTAGAAAACTCATAAATTAGGGGGAAAACCACGGGACCATTTCGGCCGCTTAAATCCACTATCATTATCAAAGGAGCAATACAAAGTCTTCTCTAGATAATACTAGAGGCATACAAAATCATCATATCCTTGAAAGTAAGCACATCAAGGTGTATGTAATCAAAATAGAGCCAAGATAAGAAATACGTAATATTTCACCAGAAAAATAGCTACCATACAGACCAACGAAACCCGACCTCCGGACCTCAAAACCCGATCTCCAACGTCCAAAACATTTGCCCAGATGTTTTGTAGTTGCTGTCCAAAAAATCACGACGACGATCCAACGGTTCAATCTTCGGGAAACAAAATTTTTCCGTTGCTGTCTACTAGAAAAACGAGATGAGCATTCAACTCATGTGTTGTGACTTTTGTTCCCCTTTCTGTCCTTATGTTTTGAGATAGTAGTTGACCCCCTATTCTTATTAGCTCCCAAAAATAGAAAATCTAAGACTCTAATGGACTTGTACTTGAGCTTCCCTCATGGGTCAAAGAAAAATAATCAAACAACGTGGTAGTCAGACACTCGGTAAAGGAAACACACACCTAACTTTATGAATTCTTTAATATAAAGAAAAGAAAAAAATCAAAAACTGATTACTCGGAAGCAATCAAGAAGAAAAGGAGGATAAATATTGAGTGGCAAACATTGAAGAACTATCCGATGTTAGTAATAAAGAAAAATCCCAAGGTGAGTATGATTAATGAAAGGAAGGATATCTTTGTACTTCCACCAAAATATAATTCCACAATCACTTTTTTTTACCAAACATTCCAACTTTAGCCTTTTCACTTTAATCACTCCTATTCTAAAATCCCAACTTGTATTATTAATCACTTTTTCAAAAAATCACTTTACAAAATCACTTTTAAAAAAGTGAAGCAATAGCAAACATAGCCTAAGTACTCTATGATTTGGTAACATTAAAAGCTTGTTTGGTAACACTGTAACCAGCTGCAGTGGCGGATCCAGAAAAAATACTTATTGGGGGCATAATAATATCAATTAAAATAAATATATAAGGAGTATTAAATACTATATACGGAGTATTAAATACGGACATATGAGTAAGTCGTCCCAAATTCGGATCCACCATAATTTATGTAATTTTTAGCTTACTTTTCGTGTAAAAAAAATAAAAATAATTACAAAAATTTGATTAAAATAAAAATTGTTTACAAAAGTATGAATAATTACTAGATTAGTAATGGAATCATAGTGACTTATGTTTAATTTTGCAACTTAAATTATCATGACATTACATTGTAGTAACTATTAGTCATATTTGTGTAAATAAATTTTATTTTAGTAATATTTTTGAAAAACCTCCAAAATAATATTGGCGAATTTCTACTAATCTTGAATAATTGTATGGAGCTCTAATTGTAGAACTAAGAGGGGTTTCAAAAATATTACTGAAATAATATTTATTTACAAAATTTGAACAATAGTTATCATAGTATAATCTCATAGTCACTTAAGTGTAAAAATTGAACATAAGTTAATATGACTAAAATATTACTATAATCACCACACTTATGATGTCACGTTTTATAAATAAAATTTGTTTTAGTCATATATATATGTAAATGTTTCATATATATAAGAAGGCTAGATCCATAATAATCATTTCTATTTCATAAATTCACTTAATTAGAAATGAAAATGAAAACATCATGAGCCAAGTAGTACATTATTACTTCAATTCATTAGCTAAATTAAATATAGTTTTATTTAATTTAATTTAATACCTTATTTTGCCACCACAATTCCTCAAAAATTTGGTCATTTTAACTTTGTACAATTAGATTTATTTACAAAAATTAACACATTTTTAGTCATTCATACGATACAACGTAACATCACA